AGGGAACTGTTTACCAGCCAAGTCCCAGTTGCTTGCAGGGGCCAGCCTTATAAGCAGGCTTTTCTAAGGATAGCAGGCTCAAACCTGGTATATTAACTCTTTTCTGCACACTTTCAACATCGGTATTGTGACTAACAAGATCCCTGTAGTATAGCCCTTTTTTTTTAAGTTTCTAACAAGAATACCCTTAGTCTGTCAGGTTCTGTACCTTTTTTCTTCCTTTCTTTCTAAGTAAACCTATAACAGCCTTATAGCAAGTTACCGTACAGTCTCTGATCTAGTGGAAGACCCCCACGGGGTGTTGCCTGGGAAAAGCCTACCTGACCACCTAGAAAAGACCTTAGAGGACAGCACCTCAGTATAGTCCCTTAAGTCGCAGGGTCCAGTTCTCATGTTTGTGGGCTCAGAAGTTTGATTGTGTTGGTGTACTTAGAGGTGGCTCATGCTAGCCAAACTCAGGAGATGCTGACATATAAACGAGAATACTGTCACGCGCCACATAATAGCATTTTGATCAACAACAGACCATGTATACGATGGTGGTCCCATAAGATTAGTTCTGTATAGCAGTAGGTGTGCAGGAGGCTGTACCATCTAGGTTTGTGTAAGTGCACTCCATGATGTTCACAATGACAAAATCGCCTGACAACACGTTTCTCAGAACGTATCCCTGTTGTTAAGCGACGCATGACTATACTCTTATCATTTTCCTGGGAGAAAAGAAACTGTCAGGTGGGCCTGGTCAGCACTTCCTCTGCTTTGGGGAAGATGAACAGGCCAAGAAAGTTAGAATTATACTTGGTGAGCAGGGAGGGAGGTAAGGTCTTCAGATCTTGTGGCTTCCAGCTGGGGCAGCCTCCCAGGCCCATCATAAGGGTCAGCGTGTAGCATGAATGTCACGTGAGTTCTCTGGTACCCTTTCTCTGAGAAGAATATTCTGGGCCTCCTGACATTCCTGACCTTCCTTAGAGACCATTCCCCTCCCTCTGTTGTCAAGCCTTTTTCCATTTCCAGGCAGAGCCATATAATTGGTTAGGGTTAGGCTTTCTGTGTTCAATCACATCTAGTGATGTTCCAGTTGTGCCTTCTAAAGTCCTTCCCAGGCATTCTTCATTAGAGACCAGATGTTCCCAATGACATGTTCAAGAGCACTAGCTCTCTTGGGTCAGGGGCCCCAGATTGGGAAGTACCATACTATGTGCCTGCTACCAGTGGGTCTGTGGGGTTGCAGGAAGAGCCCACTCTGGGCTGGAGGGGTGAGAAGGTTTCTTGGGCCAAGCCAAGACTCATGCTGGTCCATGAAGGAAAGTGGGTTATAACAATTCAGTGAGTGAAAAATGGGGCACAGTATTTTAGACAAGGGCCACAGTATGGACAAAGGCAGAGTGACAGGGACTAGCTTATTTCACTTAGCATAATGTCCTCAAATTTCATCCATGTTGTCACATGTGTCAGAATTTGTCTTCTTTTTTAAAGCTGAATAATATTCTATTGTGTGTATATACCATATTTTGTCTATCCATTCATCCACTGATGGACACTTGGGTTCTTTCCACCTTTTGGCTATTGTGCTGCTGTGAACATGGGTGTACAAATACTTGAGTCTTTGCTTTCAGTTTTTTTGTGTGTATATACCCAAAAGTGAAATTGCTGGATCATCTGGTAATTCCATTTTTAATTTTTTTTTTTTTTTAGAGATTGGCACCTGGGCTAACATCTGTTGCCAATTTTTTTTTTTTAATTTATTTTTCTTCTTCTCTCCAAAGCCCCCCAGTACACAGTTGTATATTCTAGTTGTAGGTCCTTCTGGCTGTGCTGTGTGGGACGCCGCCTCAGCATGGCCTGATGAGTGGTGCTAGATCCACGTCCAGGATCCCAACTGGCAAAACCCTGGGCCGCTGAAGTGGAGTATGCAAACTTAATCACTTGGCCACGGGGCCGGCCCCTCCATTTTAAATTTTTTGAGGAAGCGCTTTACTGTTTTACATAGTAGCTGCACCATTTTACTGTATGTGCTGTTTTATGATTTTTTTTTTAAATATTTTTTTATTTTTCCTTTTTCTCCCAAAGCCCCCCGGTACATAGTTGTGTATTTTTAGTTGTGGGTCCTTCTAGTTGTGGCATGTGGGATGCCGCCTCAGCATGGCTTGATGAGCGGTGCCATGTCCGCGTCCAGGATTCAAACCATCAAAACCCTGGGCCGCCGAAGCAGAGCGTGCGCACTTAACCACTCAGCCATGGGGCTGGCCCCATTTAATCTGCTTTTTTCAGTTAATAATCTTCAACTTTCTATGTCAATAAATTTTCATTTATCTAATACCTAGTCTGTACTCAGATTTCCGCATTTGTCCCCAAAATGTCTTTTACATCTCATATGTCCAACCCAGAGTATAATCCAGGACTGAATCTTGCCTCTGGTTATTATGTACCTTATGTTCTGTCAGCTAACCTAGTGTAGCGCCCTCCTTCTCTTGTTCTTTTTTTTAACAGCTTTATTGAAGTATAATTTACCTAACATAAAATTCACCTGTTTCAATTGTACAATTCAAAGATTTTTAGTAAATTTACAGAGGTGTACAACCATCACCACAATTAAATTTTATAACATGTTCATCATCCCAGAAAAATCCCTTGTGCCCATTTGTAGACACTCCCTGTTACCCCCTCTCCCATCCCTAGGCAACCACGTATCTACTTTCTGTCCCTTTGGATTTGCCTTTTTTTTTGACATTACATATAAGTGGAATCATGCAATATGTGGTCCTTTGTGTCTGGCTCATTTCACTTACCATAATGTGTTTGAAGTTCATCCATGTTGTAGCGTGTATCATTACTTCATTCCTTTTTATTGCCAAATAATATCCCATTTTATGGATATATTACATTTTATTTATCCATTCACCAGTTGATGGAATTGTAAAAGTTTCATTTTTTGGCCGTTGTGAATAATGATGCTATGAACATTCATGTATAAGTGTTTGTGTGAATGTATGTTTTCATTTCTCTTGGGTAGACACCTAGGAGTGGAATTGTTGAGTCATATGGTAAATTTATATTTACATTTTTAAGAAACCACCAAACTTAGCCCTCCCCCTCCCCCCGCTTTTTTTCATGACGCTTACTTGTTGAAGAAACCTGGCCGACACACTGCTGCTGCTCTTGTGTTTCTCTGATTACTTCCTCATGATGTCTTTAGCTTGTTCTCAGTCTCCTGTGTTTCCTATGAACTGGGAGTTAGATTTGGAGTTTTATTGGATTCAAGTTAAATGTTTTTGGCTAGAACACATTACAAGTTATGTTGTATACTTCATTCATATTGGATCACAGCAGCAGACACATAATGTTTGAGTTTCATTTTTTTCCACGTAGATACTGGGTCCGGCATCATTTGTTGAAAAGACTCTTCTTTCCCCCATTGAATTACCTTGACACCTTTATCAAAAGTCTCTTGATGATGTATGTGTGATCCTATTCACAGGCTCTGTAAAGAGCCTCCCTCAGCCTCCTTGAACTCCAGTCTCTGACTCTTCAACTCAGCGGGACTGCTGTGCTCTGCTTGGGGTTCCCCTCCCTGCACCGGGTCTAGAACATACCTCCAGGCAGAAAGCCAGGCTGAACATGGGGCTCACCTCCCTGTTTCCCTTCTCTCAAGGACCACTCTTGTTTTGTCCATGTCTGAGAGCAGTTGTTTTATGTATTTTGTTCTGTCTTCTAGTGTTTTTACAGTGGGAAGGCAAGTTCCATACTCCTTCATGTGGAAAAAGCAAAAAATCTGTTCTCTTTCTTTCTTTCTTTGTCTCTGTACTTCAGTTTGGATAGTTTCTATTGCTATGTCTTCAAGTTTTCTGGGATTTTCTTTTGTAGTGTCTAATGTGCTGTTAAGCTTGTTCAGTGTAATTTTCATTTCAGATGTTATAGTTTTCATTTCTAGAATTCCATTTGGTTCTTTTTTGTATCTTCCATTTCTCTCCATATTATATTCATGCTTTCCTTTAATTCCTTCAGCATATCAAGCATAGTTATAATAGCTATTTTTTAAGTCCTGTCTGCTGAATCCATTATGTGTCATTCCTGTTATTGACTAATTTTTCTCCTGGTTATGGGTCACATTTTTCTGCTTTTTGGTATATCTAGTAATTTTTGATTGGATGGCAAACATTGTGTATTTCTGAGCATTTGGATTTTATTGTCTTCCTTCAAAGAGTGTTAAAGTTTGTTTTGGCTGACAATAAGTTATTTGCTATCAGCTTGATCCTTTCGAAGCTTGTTTTTCAAAAAGCTTTATTAGGACGGGTCTAAAATACTCTTCACTCTAGGACTCATTTACTCTTAGTACCAAGGCATGTCCCTCTGGGATCTCTGTGGTTTGCTCTGAGTATTCAACCAGGTCTCTCCACTCTGGCTGGGCAGAATTAGAATGCCTCCTAATTGTTCCTTCAGGGCCAGAACTGGACCTCTCAGTGGAACATTCTTACACATATCTTTTGGTGTTATCCTATCTTATTTGATCCTCACCACAGCTCAGTAAAGTAGGTAGGCAGTGTAATTTTCATTTTATAGATAAAGGTAGTGAGGCCAGGCAGGTTGGTTTTGCAACTTGCCTGTAGGTGGCAGGGCTGGATCTTGAGCCCAGGTCTCTCCAACTCCATTAAAATCATGTCCTTTAAGCTCCATGAGAACAGAGAGAACAGTTTTTCAGAGTATTTTCTCAGTTATGAGGCTCACATTTTACATATGGAACATACCTCACATTAAAAGGATGTATCTTAAAATAGAAATGTATAGGATAATTTTCTAGAAAACTGTTGTTGAATTAGATGTGGTGCCTCTAAAATCACTATGTATTAAAATCAAAGAAATATGTATATCTCCAGTGCCTAATAGAGCCTTGATACATAGTATATGCATAATAAATATTCGTATGCTAGGTTCAAGAATATGGCGACTTTATTTTAAAAACTGTGCTTCTAAAAGTTTTATGCCTCTGCTTGTCTCTTCAGGTATTTTATGCATGGCGTGTGTCGGGAAGGAAACCAATGCCTGTTCTCACATGACTTGGCCAACAGCAAGCCATCCACCATCTGCAAATACTATCAGAAGGGCTATTGCGCCTATGGAACTCGATGCAGGCAAGAGCCCCGCGTTCCCAACAGTTACACTTAGTTACACTGTCAGGGATTCGCATCCGTCATTTGGAGCATGGGTCTTGAGGGGAGAATTGTAATTTAACAGTAACATGACAACATTACAAAAAGTATGGCAGATAACTCTGAAACCTCAATTTCAGTACCTAAAAATAATTTTAATTTTTCAAAAACACTTTTCAGGCCTATTCTATGAGTCTGTAGTTATAAAACTGCACTCACAGTGTATGTAAGATTTTATATCTTGCTTTTTCCCCCTTAACGTGTCATAAGCTTTTTCCTATGCTGCTGCTTTATCTCCTAAGTGTAATTTTACCAAGTTTCATAGCGTTAATGTACCATCATTTTTTAACTGTCCCTCTGTTAGATATTTAAGTGGCTTCCAGTTTTTTGCTATGAGTACCCTTGCAGTGAACATTTATGAGCATATAGAGTCTTCCTTTTTTCCACTGACATCCATAGGCAAGTTTTGTAACTTCTAGCCAGGGAAACATTCCAAAAACCTATTCCCATGTTTTTGTAGTGAAGAGCTGATCTGTCTTCCTGGGCCACAAATCTCCTCAGTCCTTCCTCAGTGCCATCTGGGGATGATGGAAGTTGGCCCACCCTCCCTCCCTCCTTCCATCGGGTGCCCCAGAAATACAGTCCAGAGAGGCCAGTCTCCAGCTGTTACATTGGCCATTATTAACATTTTGGGGACTCTTCCCCAAGAGAACACTGGATGGTTGTCAGGAGATGTCATTTCAACATCTGTCTGGAACTTTCACGCTGTCTTTGTGTGGTCTGGAGCAGTATGTCTGTCCCACTCAAGTCCCACAAGGACACTTAAGTGTAGGTGATAGACAGCAATGTACCACTCACTCTGAATTGCCAGGCAGCTCTTACTAATTGATAAGCCTTTTTTTAATTAAAATATGGGAAAATATCGTCTCATTTTCTACTTCCACAAATGGAGCAGGAGAGATGTTCCACGTCTGGGGCGTGCGGGAGGCATGTGTGTAGAGTGTCTGTAATGCGTCTGCTGTGTGTTTTGTTTAGATATGATCACACGAGGCCCTCTGCCGCAGCTGGGGGTGCTGCGGGCACCATGCCCCACAGTGTGCCATCCCTGGCTTTCCACAGTCCTCACCCTCCTTCCGACCTCACTGCATCTATTGTGAAAACTAACTTGCACGAGCCTGGGAAACGTGAAAAGAGAACACTGGTACTTAGAGACCAAAGTGAGTAAGCATAATCCTTTCGTTGCTTTTTTGAAAAGCAGTCTTGCTTTTCCTGATGCTCCTTTCTGACCCTCTCTTGTCAGGAGGGCTCCTAACCTGATACTCTTCCAAGCTGTCCAAATGTAAAGACACCAGAACTGTCCTGAGCACAGGCTTTGTTTAGCTGCAGAGCGTTCAGATGCTGCATCCGGCCTTGTGCCCAGGGTGGGCAGAGCCCCACGTTTGGTCCGGCAAAACATAAAGAGTGACCTTTCTGTCAACGTGTAACTGCTGTCGGCAGAGAGTAGTCGCCCAATTCTGAGAAGCACCAGGCTACTCATTTCAAAGCTACATATTTTGATAAAGAGCATGTTTCACTGCTTGACTTCTAGGTCAGTTCATAGTGTTAGTTCTCAGGCCGAGCCAGTGTTTGGTATTTTAGGGTGTGCCTTTGGAAATGCAATAGCAACTTGGGGTTTGGGGAGTGGTCTGTCCCCTGGTACAGGCTTTGGGGAAGAAGAAGGCTACAAATCATAAAACTTGTTTTCGTTGGCTAGTCCTTACCAGGTGAAGGGATTTCTAGTTATTGGAATTGTCAGCATGAGACAGGCAGATTCCATTCTAAGCGAACAAGTAGTCAGTGCAGTCAAATAGTCCCCTCTGAGAGGTTCAGAAGTGCGCGTGCCGGGCAGGGTCAGCTGCCATGGCGAGAGGGTGGCTGTAGGGCAGTTGAGCACTGGCCCCAGGGCCCAAAGGCTGGCTCTGCATTTTCCTTCTAGCTCACTTAAGGTGATTGCTGACTTTACTGGCCTAAAGGCAACCACCAGATTCGATTGACCTCATTCTAAATTCCTTTTGACTTACATTTTGTTTTCTTTTTCATTTTTATTTTTTTTTAGTGTTAACTGGTCTGTATGTTGACATTTCCATACTTGCCATTTTTAAACAGCAACTTTAGTGTTCTTTTGTATAAATATATCATGGTCTGTTTTGCTATTTCCCTATGTTGCCATTTATGTTTTTTGGGTTTTTATTATGATAGTCAGTAATGTCCCTCTGAACATTTTATGCTATTCTGTCTTTTTTTCCCCTCGGCCTGTTTTTTTCTATGTTCCCAAGAGTGAAGTTCTTGAGGTCAGTGTTGCTTACTTTATTAGGTTTTGACTAACTGCTTATGAGAAAGGTTGGGCCAGTTTCCATTTGTGTGTGTGCTGTGTGTTTTGTCTTAAGATCTCTCTGGCATGGCTGAAGAAAAGACTTGCCCCAGTGTGGTGAGTAATCCAGGAGGCTGCAGTGACCCCCAGAATGGCCCAGAGATGAAGCCGCATTCCTACCTAGATGCAATTCGGAGTGGCCTTGATGACTTAGAAGCCAGCAGCTCCTACAGCACTGAGCAGCAGCTGTGCCCCTATGCGGCTGCCGGGGAGTGCCGATTTGGGGATGCTTGTGTCTACCTGCATGGGGAAGTGTGTGAAATTTGTAGGTTACAAGTCCTGCACCCCTTCGACCCAGAGCAAAGGAAAGCTCATGAGAAGGTAAAGTCGCAAGCCTTAACGTGAACTCGTGTTAAGATATTTGCAATGCACTAAGTGCAAAATTGTTGGTATTTCTGCAAGCACCTTTCTGCCAATAACACCTGCATTATGTACCTGGCATATTTATGCCCTATTTTCAAGTCCTTCGTCCTGTTGTCATTTTGCCAATTTTTAACTATTTAGAATAAAGAAAAAGGAGGCACTGGAAACATAAAGCAATGCAAAGTTCAGAGAACAAATCTAGCTCGGGAGCATGGTGCTTGTGTGTGTGTGTGTTATCTGTCTCTTTCTCACACGTTCACACACGCGTCCTCCCTCCCTAGGTTTGCGTATCATTGTGGTTGGGATCCAGCCAGACTGAGTTCTGGAGAATTTGAGGAGCCCAGATCATAGTCTCTGAGCAGCCAAGTTGGCCGGGACCGTTCAAGTTCGTAGGTCCCAGTGTTTGTGGAGGCACTGCCTCACGCTAGGCTCTGTGCTTGGTGCAGGGTTCTGAAGACAGGTAAGAGAGAGAGGGCGGAGCGCACACTGCAGTGTTAGAGCTGTGAGGAGGAGGCAGTTGTGCTGTGGAGGCTGAGTCTGCCACTCTCCATTGTCCTCCCAGGGGCTGTTCAGGGGAGCACAAAATTGGAGCTTTCCTCTTTACCCTGGTATGGAGAGGTCTTTGTGCTGTGCGTTTTGGTTTATCTCATGTCTGTCACCATGAGCTCTCAGGGGCAGAGCCAAGGTCTTCATATCCTTTACACTAACTTGAACGCCTGATATACGGTGCTGCACGTGGGAGGTGTTCAGCACCTGCTTCCTGGGTGAATGCATTCATTACATAACTTGTTCTCTTGGGGAGAAGGGCTGCTGCTTCCCTCTGACTCTGGACTGCCAGCCTGATGTTTCAGGTTCAGGGTTATTCAGTATTTCTGATACTGGTGTGGTTTAGAGGGGGGAAAGGCGGTGGCCAGTGGAGCCAGGAGACCAGGGTCCCAGTCCTTGTGAACTCCCTGACTCCACAGTGGTCTCTAACCTTTTTGGACTTCTGTGGTCTTGGCTCTAAATTGGAGGTGACTATATTGTACTAGGAAAGCAAGGGGCTGGGCTGGTGATGGTTTGAAGTCCTTTCTGTGATCTGAGAGAGCTTGTGTCCTGAGTCCAGGGGCTGCTGGGCCCTGCCTGAAACAGCCGTGGTCCATATTCCTTCTTGATCTTGGTTGTGGCAGTGTGGCTGGCAGCTGCTCCTGTGCTCTCGCCCCTCCCCAGTGGCTCAGAACCTAAGAAGGTTTCCCTCCTCCCTCTCTGTGCTTCAGATCTGCATGTCAACATTTGAACACGAGATGGAAAAGGCCTTTGCCTTCCAGGCGAGTCAGGACAAAGTGTGCAGTATCTGTATGGAAGTGATCCTCGAGAAGGCATCTGCTTCTGAGAGGAGATTTGGGATTCTCTCCAACTGCAATCACACGTACTGCTTGTCCTGCATCCGACAGTGGAGGTGTGCCAAGCAGTTTGAGAACCCAATCATTAAGTAAGTACGGCGAGGAGTCTTGGCTGTGGGAGCTGGGGAGAAAGTTTGATTTGGGGCCTTCTCCCATCCACTCTGAAGTCTTCCCCTGTCCTCCAGAGGCGTTTCGGTGCAAAGATAAGTGGTGCGTTCTGGCTCCTGGCTGCAGGAACTTGGGCACATCACGCAGCTGTCCTGGGCTCAAGTGCCTTTTCATTTAAAGGTTTGGGTAACAGTTCTGGCCAAGCTTTCAGGGTGTTGGGAGACACTCAGCAGGGAGCATCTGTGTGAGATGGTGTTAATGAAACTGGCCTATTTGACTCCAGCACGAGTAGTTAGTTACTAGTGGTCTGCCCTTAGGCCTAGTGCCTGTTGACCTTTTTAAGCTTCATTTTTTTTTCCATCTGTAAAGTAGAATTATTTGAAGATTAAATGGAATAATGCATGTAACTCATTTCATATAATGTCTGATACGTGGAGTGTGTTCCATGAGCCAACACAGGATTCTTTTTTTCCCCAGCTTTATTGAGATATAATTGACATGTAACAATACAGGATTCTTAAATTCTACAGTTGGACAGGGGAAGAGCTAACTCATATTGAGAAGTTACTGCATGCTATGTACTTTAAGAAACTCTACACACACTTTAACTCAAAATTCTCTCAGAGACCCTATGGTCATCATTCTCGTTTTACAGATAAAGAAACTGAGGTACGGTGAGGTCAGTAACTTGCCTAAAGTCACACATTTGTGTGGTAAAATAACTTTATTGAGATAAAAATGTATAATTCGGTGTTTTTCAGTTGTGCAACCATAACTACAAGCTAATTTTAGAACATTTTTATCATCCCAAAAAGAAAGTTCCATTTGCAGTCACTGCCTGTTCTTCCCTCCTTCCAGCTCCTGGCAACCACTAGTGTACTCTGTGTCTCCACAGACTTGCCTCTTCTGGACATTTCCTCTAAATGGAATCATACAATATATGACCTTTTGTGTCTGGCTTCTTTCACTCAGCGTAATGTTTTCAGAGTTCGCTCAGGTTGTGATATGTCCCAGTACTTCATTCCTTCTTATGACTGAATAATATTGCTCTGTATAGATATAACACATCTTATTTACCCATTCATCAGTTGATGGGCATTTGGGTTGTTCCCTCTTTGGGGTTATTATGAATAATGCTGCTATGAACATTTGTGCACAAGTTTTTGTATGGACATATGTTTTCATTTCCCTTGGGTGGATATCTAGGGGTGGAATTGCTTGGTCATTTGGAACCTCTATGTTTAACATTTTAAGAAACTGCCAGACTGTTTTCTGAAGTGGCTGAACCACTTTACATTCCCACCAGTAACATATGAGAATTCCAATTTCTCCACATCCTTGTCAATACTTGTTACTGTCTTTATTTCTCTTTTCTTTCTTTCTTTTTTTTTTTTTTTGAGGAAGATTAGCCCTGAGCTAACATCTACGGCCAATCTCCCTCTTTTTGCTGAGGAAGACTGGCCCTGAGCTAACATCTGTGCCCATCTTCCTCTACTTTATATGTGGGACGCCTGCCACAGCATGGCTTGACAAACAGTGCCATGTCCGCACCCCAGATTCAAACCAGCAAACCCCGGGCCACTGGAGTGGAATGTGCGAACTTAACCACTGTGCCACTGGGCTGGCCCCTATTGTCTTTATTTCTCATGTTAGCCATCCTAGTAGTTGTGAAATGATACCTTTATTGTTGTTTTGATTTCCATTTCCCCGATAACTAATGATATTGAGCACCTTTTCCTGTGCTTATTGGCCATTTTGGAGAAATGCCTACTCAATTCTTTGCTCATTTTAAAATTGGGTTTTCTTTTTATTGTTGAGAAGAACACTTTTTTTTTTTTTTAAGATTTTATTTTTTTCCTTTTTCTCCCCAAAGCCCCCCAGTACATAGTTGTATATTCTTCGTTGTGGGTCCTTCTAGTTGTGGCATGTGGGACGCCGCCTCAGCGTGGCTTTTGATGAGCAGTGCCCTGTCCACGCCCAGGATTCGAACCAATGAAACACTGGGCCGCCTTCAGCGGAGCGCGTGAACTTAACCACTCGGCCATGGGGCCAGCCCTGAGAAGAACGCATTTTTAATAGTAAACAAGGTTCTTAGATGATTGTGATTGCACCTTTTGCAATTTTTGGATAGGAAATACCTGGAGTGGTCATACATTGGAGCAAAGGGTTAGTTATGGAATGTAGACAGGATTTGTAACTTACTCTCTCCCTTATTAACCTGATTCTTATTTCAGATCTTGTCCAGAGTGCCGTGTGATATCAGAGTTTGTAATTCCAAGTGTGTATTGGGTGGAAGATCAGAATAAAAAGAACGAGTTGATTGAAGCTTTCAAACAGGGAATGGGGTAAGTGCTTTGAGTTCAGGTGTGATCCTGGTGCCTGCCAGGATCTCGTTTCAGCCTTTACCATTGCCGCTTCCCCCTTGCCTCTCAAGAATGTGGTCGTAGGGGCCTGAGGCCATTCAGGGTCTCCTCCTTCTCTCAGGCACCATGCACTCTTTGGATATACAGAGGTGAACAAGGCCGTGGTGGGTGGACTTCTTTAGTTTTTAAACTGAGCAGTATCCCCTAGAAATCTGTTTCAGGTGCTACGGTCAACTTGTCATCTGGGATTATTCATTCATTCAACAAGTATTGATTGAAGATCTATATGATAGGTCTTTTCTAGTTGCTGGGGATACAGCGCTAAACAAATCAAACAAAAATCTCAGCCCTCACACAGCTCACCTTCTAGTGAAGGAAAATAAAGTAGAATAATAAGAAACAAGATAAATAGGAAAATATGTATTAGATGGTGATCAGGGCTAAGGAGTGAAGCAAGCCTGGGAATGGGAGATAGGAAGTGAGGGGGTTGCAATTTTAGTGTGGGAGACCAAAGAATGGCTCTGTAAGGTGACATCTGAGCCAAGACCTAGAGGAGGTGAGGCAGCGAGCCATCTTGATGTGAATGAGAAGAACATTCGAGATGGAAGAAATAGTCACTGCAGACTCTGAGGCTGGAGCATGTCTGCCTTGTTTGAAGAACAGCAAGGAGTAGCTGGATGAGAGGAACAAGTTGGGGAGGATACTGGAGACGAGGGCGGTGGCGGGGCCGCAAATTGGATAGGGCTTTGCAGGTCGTTGGTTGGATTAGGCTTTTTATTCTGGATGAGATGGGCAGCCGTCATAGGGTTTTGATCGGAGGAGTGACATGATCTGATTGATATTCTGAAAGGATCACTGTGGCTGAGCCATTGAGAATATATTGAAAGAGGAGGCCAGTTAGGCTATTGCAATAATGCAGGCAAGATACGACAGTGGCATGGACCAAAGTAGAGGAGGCGGTAAGAAGTGGTCAGATTCTAGATCTGCTTAGAAGAATTGCTGATTGATCTGCTGATGCGTTGAATATGGGACAGGTGTGAGGGAGGAGGCGCTAAGGATTCAAATTTCACTTCTAAAAGTCTTACCACTTTTGATTTCTTTGCTGCACTTCCATCTTTGTTGGCCACTTTCCTCTTTCAACTATCTGTTTTTGTAAAATGTCTTGAGGGTTTATCACTGGGAAACAAGGAGGCAACACAGCTACACATTTTGCTTCTGTCTGTAAACTGAGTAACAGAGGTACGGTGACCGGTCTCCGACGGAATTTGGCAGCAAGTTACGTGACTGGGTGCTGACCATGGTGCGTGCTTGTTATTTATGTAGCGATTGGACTGAAGAGCTGACAGCCAAGTTTGTACTTTATGCGGTTACTCACAGTTAACGTTCTGTGGTCACTGAAATTTGAACCGTGCTGTTGGAGGACAAGCGTTATTTAACTAAACCATGGGTGGTTAGTTTCCTAATGCTCCTGTAACAGATTACCACGAACTGGGTGATTTGAAACAGCAGAATTTTATTCTCTCTCAGTTCTGGAGGCTGGAAATCTAAAATCAAGGTATGGGCAGGGTTGGTTCCTCCTGGAGGCTCTGAGGAAGAATCTGTCCCGTGTCTCTCCTGGCTTCTGGAGGCTACCGGGGATTCTTGGGGTGCCTTGGCTGGTGGCAGCAGAATTCTAATTTCTGCCTTTGTCTTCTCCCCTGGGTCTTTCTCCCCCTTTTGCATTTTGTAAGACAGGTGACATTAGTTTTAGGACTCCCCCATTAATCCAGGATGATCCCATCTGGATTAGTCTCATCTCGAGATCCTTAACTACATCAGCAAAGACCTTTTTTCCAAATAAAGGTACATTCGCAGGTCCCAGGGCTTAGGATTTGGACCTGTCTTTTGGGGGCCACTGTTCAACTCCCTGTACCTGGTGTCTCAGTCCATTCTGGCTGCTGTAACAGTGCCACAGACTGGGTGGCTTATAAACAACAGAAATGGATTTTTCACATTTCTGAAGCTTGGGAAGTCCAAGATCAAGGTGTCAGCATGGTCAGGTTCTGGCGAGGGCCCACTTCCTGGTTCGTAGCCTGGTTCATAGCCTTCTCACTGCGTCCTCACACGGAAGGTGGAAGGTGCAAGGGAGCTCTCGGGTCTTTGTTCATAAGAACACTAGTCCCATTCATGAGGGTTCCACTCTCATGACTTAATCACCCCAAAGGCCCCACCTCCTACTTCCATCACATTGGGCACTAGGATTTCACCATATGAATTTTAGGGGGATACAAACATTCAGACCGGTAACTGAAATTTATGCAGATTAGAATCGTGCAAAGCAAGGGCTGCCTGTTTACCACAGTTGATCTGTTCTTCTGTTGATGGATACCTGTGCTGTTTCCAGCTATTGGCTATTTTGAATACTTTTTAGAATTCCATTTTAACTTAAAGCTTTTTAGCTTACCTGTTTTTTGTTTTTTTGTGAGGAAGATCGTTGCTGAGCTAACGTCTGTGCCAATCTTCCTGTTTTATGTGGGGTGCCACCACAGAGCAGCTTGACAAACGGTGCTAGGTCCATGCCGGGGATCTGAACCTGTGAACCCCAGGCTGCCAAAGCAGAGAGCATGAACTCAACCACTATGCCACCGGGTCGGCCTCTTCTCTGTTTTTTTTAAAATAGTTTTTCTTGGGATTACAATGTACTCTTATTTTTTACTGTCAGAATTGATATGCCTGCAGCCTTATGTAATATGCATTACTTCGTCATTACCGTCTTTTGCATTACAGATATAAAGCATATGCATTACATTTATATACATTAGAACCCCACAAGGTAATAATAGAAATTTTCTTAAATTTCAGCTTTACTGAGGTATAGTCGACAAATTAAATTTTAAGATATGTAAAGTATACATCATGGTGATTTGATACACATGTACATTGTGAAAGGATTCCCCCAGCTAGTTCATTAACACATGCATCACCTCACATATTTATCTTTTTTTATGATAACATTTCAGTTCTGCTCTCTTAGCAGATTTCGGTAATACAATACAAGTGTATCACATGTAGTCACCGTGTCTTATGGTAGATCCTTATTCATCTTTTACCACCTCTCCCTATTTCCCCCACTCTAGCCCCTGGCAGCCACCTTTCTACTGTCTATTTTTATGAGTTTGACTTTTTTTTGGATTCCACATAGAAGTGGTACCGTGCAGTGTTTGTCTTCTCTGTCTGGCTTATCTCGCTTAGCATAATGTCCTCAAGGTTTATCCATGTTGTCACAAATAGCTGGATTTTATTCTTTCTCATGGCTGAATAATAGTCCATTGTGTATATAGGCCACATCTTCTTTATCCATTCAGCTGCTGACAGTTACGTAGGTTGTTTCCATATCTTGGCTATTGTGAATAATGCTGCTTTGAACATGGGGGTGCAGATGTCTCTTCCAACAGGTGTGAGGTGATATCTCACTGTGATTTTGACTTGCATTTCCATGATGATTAGTCATGTTGAGCACCTTTTCATGTACCTGTTGGCCATTTGTATGTCTTCTTTGGAAAAATGTCTGTTGAGATCCTGTGCCCATTTTTAAATCGTATTATATGTTTTTTACTATTGAGTTTTTTGAGTTCTTTATATATTTTGGATATTGACCCACCCCTTATGAGGGATTTGAAGATATTTTCTCCCATTCGAAAGGTTGCCTTTTCATTTTGTTGATGGTTTCTTTTGCTGTGCAGAAACTTTTTAGTTTGATGTAGTCCCACTTTTTTTTTTTTACTTTTGGTGTCAAATCCAAAAAAATCATTGCCAAGACCCATATGAAGGAGCTTATCGCCTGTGTTTTCTTCTAGGAGTTTTATGGTTTAGGTCTTACATTCAAGTCTTTAATCCATTTTGAGTTGATTTTTGTGTATGGTGTAAGATAGGGGTCCAGTTTTCCCAACACCATTTGTTAAAGAGACTATCCTTTCCCCATTGTATATTCTTGGCTTTTTTGTCGTAAATTAATTGACCATATATGCATGGGTTTGTTTGTTTCTGGGCTCTCTGTTCCATTGATCCACGCATTTGTTATTATGCCAGCACCATGCTGTTTTGATTACTATAGCCTTGTAATATAGTTTGAAATCAGAGAGTGTGATGCCTCCAGCATTGTTCTTCTTTTTCATAATTGCTTTGGCTATTCAGGGTCTTTTGTGGTTTCATACAAATTTTAGGGTTGTTTTCTCTATTTCTGTGAAAAATGCCATTGGAATTTTGATAGAGATTGCATTGAGTCTGTAGATTGCTTTGGGTGGTATTGACATTTTAACAATATTAATTCTTCCAATCATGAGCATAAAAATATCTTTTCACTTATTTGTGTCTTCTGCAGCCTCTCTCAACAATGTCTTATAGTTTCCAGTGTATAGGTCTTTCACCTCCTCGGTTAAATTTATTCCTAGGGATTTTGTTCTTTTTCATGTATTTGTAAATGAGATTGTTTTCTTAATTTCTCTTTCTGTTAATTTGTTGCTAGTACATAGAAAGGTGACTGATTTTTCTATATTGATTTTGTATCCTGCAGCTTTTCTTTTGGAATTTTGCAAATGTTGTTCCAGTATAATCTGGCCTCTGTAGTTTCTAATAAGAAGTCAGTAATAATTTAAATTGAAATACATCATTTTTCTAATGTTGCTTTCAAGATTTTCTCTATATACCTGTTTTCAGCAGTTTGATATTTTGCTTAGGAGTGGTTTTCTTCATATTTTACTGCTTGGTTTTCTCTGAATCTGTAAGTTTATGTCATTCACCAAATTTAGGAAAATTTTGGCCATTGTTTCATCAAATATTTTTTATACCCAGTTTCTTCTTCTCCTGGGACTCTAATTACAGGGGATAGATTTTTTTATATTGTCCCACAGGTCTTGGGCTGTTCATTTTCTTCAATCTTTTTCCCTCTTTGTTCATCGTGAACACATTTATAGCAGCTGCTTTGAAATCTTTGTCATCTTGAAGTTGGTCTTTGTTGATTGTCTTTTCTCTCAAGAATGGTCACGTTTTCCTGATTTCTTCGTATGTTGAGTCATTTTGGATTGTAACCTAGACATCGTAAATGTTACCTTATAGAGGATTCTGGATTCTGTTAGATTCATCTATAAAGCATTGATGTTTTTGTTGGAATAGGCAGGTAAATTGTTTAGATTCACACTCTTGGGCAGCAGTTCAAATCTTAGTTCGATTCTTTTATACCTAGCTGAGTTGCCTTGAGCCCTTTGTGGGTCAGAGGTTGGTCAGAGGTGTAGGTGGAGTTAATACCTGGTATTTAGAGTGCTCCCTCTCAGCTTTGTGGGATCGCTTCCTCACTTTCTAATGGCTGATTTCCTCCAAGTCTGTCTCTTCATTCTTTAGGCCAGAAAGACTGGATTTTCCGCTGGAGTTTTAGCCACCCTACATAGACACCTGCCTTGGGTCTGCTCAAGGCTAAAACCTATTTTTTCTAAAAAAGATAACTCACCTCTTGCCATTCCACTCTTCCCAAGTGTCTAATCTCAAAGAATCCTGCTTTTGTTCATTCTTCAGTGCCTTCCAGTCTTTTAAAAATATTCCTATTTCTAGTTATCTGCAGGGAGGTTGGGTCCTGTAAAATTACTTGACCATACTAAAAGTAGAACTATATGTTACCTTTTTAAATGGTTCCTTTAAGTTGCATATCAATTACTGAAGGCTTGATGTTTTCCTGCTTTACCATTTTTTTCCTCATGTGGTGTTATTGTGTGTCCACCAGAGGGCAGGAGTGACAAGGGAGAGGGGTGCAGCCTGTAGACGGCAGGTCTGCTGGAGTTGTCCGAAAATTCTCAGGTCATTGCTTTTGGGTCTTTCTGGCCTTGGTTTCCACTGGTGGTGTTTTTATACATTCCACAGACATTTACTCAGCACCCACTACGGGCCAGGCACCTTCAAGCTAAGCACCAATAGGCAATATAGAAGAGAGATTAGTAAGATAATTTCATGGGAAATTGCAAAAAGACAATTATGGTACAGGTTTTCCGGTGATAAATTCTTCATGAGAAAACCAAGCCAGATCTCACAACAAAGAGAGCACTCAGCTCCGCTGGGAAGTGTCAGGAAAAGCAGTATGGGGACCCTGAGTCATGAAGCACGAATAGCCCATGGAATGACATGGGTGCAGTATGGGGACCCTGAGTCATGAAGCATGGATAGCCCATGGAATGATGGGTGCAGAATGGTTCCAATTTTGTGTTTGGGGAGCAGTGGGAGTGGTCCTTCGGGTTGAAAGAGGTATATAGAAGGATATGGTGGGACCTACAGGGACAAAGACAGACTGGAGTCAAGTCTAAGGGAGTCTTGAGTCCCCAGCCTGACGGTGGTCTTTAAGAACAGGGTAACAAGTGACACACTGTTTAGGGAAGCTCCTCTGTGGTCGTGGGAAGAGGTTAGAACCTGGTGGAAGGGAGGCCACTTAAGAAACAACTGTGGCAGGCAGGCAGCAGAGGATGGTGCCCCTAACGGCTTCGACAATGTGGGAACTAAGAGGTCGATTTGGGAGGTGCTGTGTAAGCAGAAGTGACAATTGGATGTGAGAGCTGAGAACAAATAAGGGGTTGAGGGAGACTTTGTTCTTGGTGACCAGATAAGCCTGGGGGGAGAAAAAGAACATTATTTTGAGAGTAGGGACTAGAGGATAAGTTTTTGAACCTGATGAGTTTATTAAAGCCAGTGTCCAGCAGACTGGTAAGAACTCACCGCTTGAGTGATCATTTGACAATCTGTTCACCACCTCAGGGGCACGGGGGCCTTGGAAGGTATCTGGTCCACACACCTCTGCTCGGGTCCACTTTCAGTTGCCTGTGCTTGAGTCAGACCTGGGGAGAGTAGGCACCCAGGCAAGCAGGGAGGCTCCTTCCCTCTGTGGACAGCTGTCAGGGAGCTTTTCTTTGCGCCGCTCCAGGGTCTGTCTCAGCCAGCCCCGGTGGTCTAGTGGTTAAGATTTGATGCTCTTACTGCTGAGGCCTGGGTTCGTTTCCTGGTCAGGGAACCATACCACCCATCTGTCGGTTGTCATACTGAGGTGGCTGCGTGTTGCTGTGATGCTGAAAGCTGTGCCACTGGTATTTCAAATAGCAGGGTCACCCATGGTGGACAGGTTTCACTGGAGCTTCCAGACTAAGACAGACTAGGAGGAAGGACCTGGCCACCCACTTCAGAAAAAGCTGGCCATGAAAACCCTGTGAATAGCAGCGGAGCATTGTCTGATAGAGCGCGGGAAGGTGAGAGGATGGCACAAAAAAGACCAGGCAGGGTTCCACTGCTATCCACAGGGTCACTCGGAGTCGGAATCGACTGGATGGCACTAACGACAAGCTCTCTCAGAGACCTTCACCATAGGGTCTCTGCCATCCCCCTTGTCTTCTGCAACTTCCCCTTCCTCAGTACTCGCAGACGGCCCTCTGGGTTCTTGGGCGTCTCTTCCTCTTCAACTTGGGATCATTTATGAATGCATAAGCCAAATTCTATGTGAGCAAGAAAGGAATGGGAATTTTCTATTTGATTATGAGTTTCCTTAGGAGCAGGCCTTCTTAAGGATCTGTGGGTAGAATTCGAAGGGGAAAAAATTTAACTTTTTGCTAACTAGTTTTAGATCTATGTGTTTTATTTTATGCATTTGACAATACTGTTCTGAGAAGGAGTCCATAGCATGTAGAGTTAAGAAGCTCTGCTCTGGAGGGTGGGGACCAAGGAAAATTGGAATGAGACTTGTAACTTTAGGCAGCTGCTAAAATTCACTGCTTTCCCTGTGACTCCTAAGTCAAGGCTTCCCGTGGTCACCTTGACATCATTGCTGGCGTGGAGGAAGGGAAATTTTCCTGGGTGGAGCTCCTGTTGGGACTTTGAGCTGAGGCAAGGAACCCAGACAGCTGGCCCAGAGGAGCAGTCAGGCCCACATTCCCCCGAAGGCCTTGGGAGCACTGCAGGCTCGAAACACAGCAGAATCCCCACACGTTCAATGCTGTGTGAGGCCGTTTGTCAGAGTGGGAGTATCATCCAGCTTGGAAATCAGCATCCTAACCTCTCTGAGCCTCAGTGCCCCACCTGTAACGTGACGCTGTCCCAGCTCTGGCAGCGATGGAGGAAGGCAGTGATTCATCTGGACCCCAGATTCTCCCACCATCCTTGATTTTTTTCTGCTTTTCAGAAAAAAGGCTTGTAAATACTTTGAGCAGGGCAAGGGGACCTGCCCATTTGGAAGCAGATGCCTCTACCGCCACGCCTACCCTGATGGGCGGCTAGCAGAGCCAGAGAAACCTCGCAAACAGCTCAGCTCCGAAGGCACTGTGAGGGTAAGGACTTGGCCATCTCTAATCAGACGCTTACCTGCGGGCACTGCTCATAGCTTTGGCAGCAGCGAATGGGTAAGCAAAATAAAAATAAGCTACCCAGCCGTCATGTTGCCTTTAGCACTAACCAGGCATGTCTGCTCTTTTTGCAGTTCTTTAATTCAGTGCGGCTCTGGGATTTCATTGAGAACCGAGAAAGCCAGCATGTCCCCAACACTGAAGATGTCGACGTGACAGAGCTTGGGGACCTCTTCATGCACCTGTCTGGAGTGGAGTCATCAGAACCCTGAGGAGCAGATGGTGGCCCTTGTGTCTTCGGCTCTGCCGGCCAAGCCCTCCCTAAGTTTAGGGTGTGAAGAGCTTCCTTTACTGTAGCCCAAGGTGCTGTGTCACTGGGATTTGAGTGGGGTTGTACTTAACCTGCGTCTCATCCACTCTCCATTCTTACAGCTGTGGGAAGAGTGAAGGATATAAAATAACCTAACGAGTATATGGAATCACTACCTTTATAGTTAATAACTTAGTTGCACCTCAAGCTCCTCGGGGGGACCAGCTAACCAGCCAGCCTGAGTTTTGATTGATTGCTTGTAAGACACACCTGGCTCCTGTCCTCCTGAGCTTTAGCTCCCTAGAAACAATCAACTTGCAGCTGCCCTTAAAGCAGCAGATGCATTTTTCTTACCAAAGGATTCTTCAGCCCCATAAACGACTCCTCTGTAGTGCATTTCCCTAGTGTACTTAAATAGGGTGTGGGCAAAAACTTGATTTATACAAAGCTTTTCAAGAAACTGCACACCTTAGCATAAAACTTTATTTAGGGCTCTTCAGTGTCCCAAATCAGAGCAGGAGTCTTGTTGCCATGTGTTCAGGAAACAAAGTTAAAGTATAAACCTTTTTCCCTGTAAGGAAGGGGGGGGCGGGGGGGGGGGGGGGCTCTTGAAGTAGCAGAAGGTAGGGGTGGCAGAACAGAGGTACTGCCTGCATTTCTGCTGTGTTGGGGCCTTGACTGGAGGAAGCCTAGACCACATGCCTCCAGGGAATTATGTCCCCAGCGCTCAGGTCTGGGCTCGCGCCCCAGGGGTAGTCATACTGCCAGCTCAGTGCACACGTGCTGTTACACGTGGCCTCCCACCAAGCCATCTAGTCTCATCAGTAAAGCCTAGCTTTCAGTGGAAATTTTGTAAAAAATTAACAGCACCCAAGGTTTCTGGTTCTGACCCAGCAGCGGTCTTGAAGAGAAGTCAGCACAAGTATTCTGTCACCAGTTGTGATTGTAAATGAAGGAGCATAACTTTGTGAATCAGAACAAACTCACTCCAAGCCTGAATTACCTATTTTTATAAACAGCTATAGATACCAAATATTTTATAAAATGCATTAAAAATGTGGGTAAAAAAAGGTCTACTCTTACTGAGTTTAGAGTGCTTTTTGTGTAATTTTTATAGTTAACTCTTTGGTGAAGGGTGACAACGAGCATAGACAAAAGCTGAATTAAATTCATTCCCAGGGGAGGCTCTGGGCCCATTTCCTGCTGCTTGAGTTCTGCTCCAAAAGGGATGAACAAATGCAGAGTGCAAGTGTGAGCTCAGTATTACTTTAAAAGGAGGAAACAGCCATTAAACCTACATTTAATTTATTTTATTAAAATAACATAATTGAGGAACCATTGGATAACTGTATTGTTGTCAGGCGCAATAAAAACAAAATTAAACCCCAAATCATCAAGAAAACCTGTATTCCTGGCTTTCTTGTATACACATGATGCGACTGTAGAAAGACAAGGCTGGCCTGGCGGCCCCACCCCATAGGGGCAGCTCCTGGAAGACTAATAAATTCAGCATGATGGAAGACTGCTCCCTGAGAGGGCGGAGACTGGGAGGGGCAGGCCGAGTGCCTCTTCTGGAAAACCATCTCAATGCACTGGAGACCTCCAAGAAAAGGAAGTGTCCCCAAAGTCAAGTTCCATAGTACCAAAGCAGGCTCCTTCAGGCGGCCACGGTCTCGACAGTCCTGGGCTGTTTGGTGCATTATGTGCAAAACTACCTGTTTGGCGCCACGCCACTATCTCTGAAGAAAAGTCCTTCCTGTGATAAGCATTCCTCGTAGGAGCTGATTTCCTAAATCCACATGTCCCCACATCAGGGCTGGTTTGCCTACCTTCATTTCCCCTCCGAGTGCTTTTTCTTGCCCTAAAAATACTCATTTAACCAATAGCTGGGGCCCCAGATCATGTATTGCCTTCAGCAGCCACTGGTGCATCTGGAGAAGGCTCAGCTCTTGAGCGTGGGGGATGCAGGGAGGGAGCAGGACAGACCAGCATTGCGAATGGCTTCCTTCTCCCAGGGCCAGAAAGGGTAGAAAAGAAGGCAACATGAAGTTAAGGCCCTGTGAGTAGTCTAGAAGGTCCTTAGCAGCAGCTTCTCTGAAACAAGCTCTGTCCCCATAGAAAGGGAGCAGAAATGTGGTGCCTGCTGACTTCCCTTCCTCCCCTGGTGGCCTGAGTGCAGGTGCGAAGTCAACTAGAAGACAGGCAGTCTAGGGGACGTGGTCAACGTGCAGGCATTGATGTCCTCGGTGTGGGCCGCCCGATGCAGGGATGGCTCAGAAGCACTCCGGTTGATTTTCGGTAGAGAGTGTTGGAGCAACTCGATGGAAGACAAGATCTGAAACATGGCCAGAAAATGGTCTTGTAAGCTGAGGTCTGGTGTTTCCATCGCAGCAGCTTTCAATCAGGGACCTAAAGACAGGCTGTTCTCCCCATCCTACCTGCAACATCTTAGGGAGAACACGAGTCCCTCCCTTTTAGGGGAAAAAAGCCACTTCCTTCCTTATTTCTATCATTGAGAACTTTCATCAGTTCTAGCACCCTTGAGCTAAGTCTTACCTGGGGAAAAAGAGGCCTCTCCTCCTTAACTTTCTTCACGCAGTCAGCCACAAGCCTCTTCATTGCTTTGGGGCAGTTCTTGTATAGCTTACTAAGGTCTGGGGAGGCATACCCTCGGCCCACCATGAAGATGATCTAAGGCAAAGAAAACAGTTGAGGGAATGGACGGGTGAACAACAGTGAAAGGAGCAACTCGTAACTCTCCTGCTGCATGGACTGGCAGGAGGCCCAGGGCTTCCGCAGTGCGTGCGGTCCCTACACACCAGCGCACATACCTGATCTCGGTTGTTGATGTGGGAGTAAGGCAGTTCCCCTGTCATGAGCTCATAGAGTACAATGCCATAGGAGTAGACATCAGACTGGAAGCTGAACGGGTTATTATCCTGCATTCGGATCACCTCTGGGGCCTACAGGGACAAAGTACATTTGTCACAATCTGGGCCCCACAGACATCCAGGGGCCAGGCTGTCCCTTCCACTGGGTCTGAAAGAGTCCTTTCCTCAGTCCTCTATAGCTCTTCCCCAAAGGGCTCTGACTCTCAGGCTCAGGCTAGAGCTCAGAAATCCTCATCTCTGGGACCCAGCACTTCCTATCGTTTAACTCCTCGTAGCTGTGCGTCAGCACGGTTCTGATCACCAGCTTCCCCAAGGAAACCCAGATTTGCCCCAGGTGGTCTGACATCACTCAAGGCATCACTGGGGTAGCCTGGACTTCTGGGAAATGGAGAGAAATGCTTTAAGTTTACACGGAGACCTCCAGCACCCCTTCTGCCCTGTACCCTGCTAGTAGGAGCCAAGCCTCACCATCCACAGGACAGAGCCAGTGGGTTGTTCAACCTGCTGAGAACCACTCCAGCGCGACTTGACTGTTGCCAAACCAAAGTCTCCAATTTTCACCGTCAGGCCTTCATGGAGAAATATATCTCAATGCTTGTTAAGGACTCTGGTTTTCAAAAGAATGGTCAAGTGAATTTGGAAAAACTTCCCAAAGTTCTTACTAGCACAGCACTCTCCGCCTCCCATCTGCCCCAGCTTTCTCTGCACTGGATCTGCTAGTGTTTCTGAAGCTTTACTAAGGGCTTTTGAAATGCCCCTTCTTCAGGAGGCATGCAGGCATTGCTCAGGGTGCCAGATCATTTGGCTCAACCAAAAACAAGCCAGTTCCCCCCCTGCTTTTCCCCCCTTTACACATCTAAGTACCAGGTCCCTGGCCTCGTGACCTTCCTTCCTACATAATGTAGGTGCCTTAAACCCCAAGACTCTAAGAGCACGGGCTGCCTGCCGGTGCTCCTCAGAGCGGAGTGTGGCCTGCTGATTGCTTATATTCATTTCTGCCTGCTGTCTACCCTCAAATGGCTGACTGAAACACACGTGAAGAACAAAATGACAAATCCCTCACTGAGCACTGAATGCTGTCCTGACATTTTCCACTAGAATAGGTACTACTTGGTGACTTCAAAATCAGACCCAAACTCCCCTCATTTCTGGGTAAAGAAGTCGAGCAGTTTAAGGCCAACTTGTCATCTGCTTATGCCCACTAATTCACAGCTCCTTAAAATCGCTGGTGTCTGCTTTCATGGCATAATGTGTTGGTCCCTAAAAACCCACCACTAAAAGGTATTCCATGCCTCAGGTATGTGCCCAAAATAGGCTATGTCCCATAATCCAACTCAACACAACTGTCGTGCCTTTCACGAGCCAGGAAGCAAAGTCCAGCTATAATGCGACGCTCTTTCAAAAAGACGGGGGGAGGGAGGCAGATGTAAAATTGTTACATTTCATACCCTAGAGCATGAAAAATACCTTGATTCATTCCCCTTCTCTAAAAACACATTCAGTCTTGGGAAGGGTTGATTCCAACAGTGACCTCGAAGGAAACCACTTGTGTACATTCAAGAAAAACAATTGTCAGTAGTAATTTTGAAAATCTTGCACCATTTGGCTTGCAGTTACTTTCTGACCAGATACGTATGCACTGTCCGCAAACTAGAAATAAACATAAATTACAAAAGCCTCACCCCCCCAAGTTAAATTTACTAATAAACAGCATAATAAAACCAGACCTGTTTCAAGCATAAACCAACACGTATCTCAACGCTTAGGGAACTCTTTCCAAAGTCACTTTTGCTGAGATAAAGTCTCCCTTCTGTTTTCCTAAATTCAGAACTGAGCAAATGAAACCACCACCAAAGGATACTGTTGGATTTCATATCTCTGTGGATGATGTTTTTTGCATGCAAATAGCTGTGAAGGGAAAATAAATCTATTAAAAACAGTTTGAGGGACACAGGTAGAAAGCAGCTTCAAACTACAGCTAAGAAGAAAACACCGTGAAGGCCTGTCTCCCAGTGAGGAGTTACATTTGGCGACCGGCCCTGCACTGGTTCGGCCTGGTCCACGTCATGCCTTACCTGAAGGTGAGGTCACAGCACAAATGGGGCGACTATTCTTTAAGTATCAATTTTACTCAAAGTAATTATGACACTCAGCCATAAAAAAGGACAAAGTCGTCCCATTCACAACAACATGGATGAACCTTGAGGGTATTATGTTGAATGAAATAAGCCAGACAAAGACAACTCTGTATGACTCCACTCATAGGTGGTAGTTAACATATGGACAAAGAGAACTGATCGGTGGTTGCCAGGGGGAAGGGGGGGTGGGGGAGGGCACTAAGGGTGAAGTGGTGTACCTACAACATGACTAATAATAATGTACAACTGTAATTTCACAAGGTTGTTAACTATCAGGATCTTAATAAAAAAAAATATGCTTATGGAAGCTAGGATTGAGAACTGGGAAAAAAAAGTAATTATGACAACCCAGTGTCTGTCAAATGATGAACGAATAAATAAAATGTGGCATATCCGTACAATGGAATAATATTCAGCCACGAAAAGGAACGAAGTACTGACACATGCCACCAACCTCTCAAAAACATTGTGTTAAGTGAAAGAAGCCAGTCACAAAAGACCTCATCTTATATCCTGGAACCGTTCTAACATTAGATAGTGGTTAATGGTTGTACAACTCTGTGACTATACTAAAAAAAACCCACTGAATTGTACGCTTTAAAGGGGTGAATTTTATGACGTGTGAGTTATCTCTCAAATTTTTTAAAAAGTAATTTTGACTAGTTATTTCTTAAAATGTACAGAATGCAAATTGCACGTGAATTTTAAAAGCAGAACATGAGATCTTATATAGCACTCAGGCACGGCTTTAGCTTAAGCCTCTCAGCCATCTGGGGATATGAGGAATTCCTGCTCCTCCACATAACGGGTATTTCAGGGGAAGAGTCTGAAGTACTGCCCTGGGCTAGCCAAGAATGGAACATGTGTGCACACGTACCCCTTTCACACAGAAATATGTCAAGCACAAAGACCCAACAGGGTAGTATTTAGTGGAAGTGCTAAAGATGACCCTCTAAGCATTCTACAAAAGGAAGATAAATTATCTCAGAAGTGACCTCTGCTTCAACCCTCATGTGGAAGCAGCACACTTGTTGATGGGCCATGCCTAGGGATCTGATGCCTGCAGAGGGCACTGCCACAACTGTCCAAGCAGAAGGTACCGACCTGCGCTATGTTGTTCTTGGGTGTCTGGCTGAATTCTGAGGGCAGCGGCTGGAACCTGAATCTGAGCCCCAAAGGGGCAGCCTCACCTTGGGCGAGCACCGTGAATTTCTCATTCCCTTCAGCCCACCCCAGAGGCTCATTTTCAACTGTGCAAAAATAGCACAAAAGTCACTTAATAGACTTGGCCTTTCCTAATCCTGGTTCTGATTTAGGGACAAGTTGATTCTTGGACCCCAGACTTTCTAAGTCATCAGGTCATCTACTCACTC